GACACAATTTGAGTCATGTTTCAGTTTTTACTCAAAAAATTTGCTATTTTCTCCCAATCTGGTAACGAAAAGTACAGACCAGAAATGGGACTATTTTGTGAATTTGTGATGAAAAGAGGGAAGTGGTGGTGTAAAAGTTAACCAAACCCTATATGTCTTCAAACTCACTGAGAGAGGAGAAAATGAATTGGAGGCCATTTGAATTTCAAAAATGCTTAATGATTAAAAAAAAAAATTCTTTGGATTAGCAAATAGTTTTGTCATAGGAATTAATTTATCAAACTTACATGAAATTCTTACATAAAAATTGTCTCAGCTACATGTATGTTCATCCATTCAATATTGGCTGTTGCTGTTGGCAACCACGTATTGGACTGAAACAAAAATATTTCTATAACAGAATGGAAACTTTTGAATATACCAATCATAATTGGACTTCATACTTTAAATGATGAGTTAACTGGTATTTCAAATCAAAAATCATACCTTTGCCACTAAGAATGAAGTAAAACACTGGTAATCAGATAACTTTTATATGTAGTATATAAATCTTAGAATATCAACAAATATAATTTAAATTCAGATTAGCTTATTAAAAAATTTGAAACTCTTAATTGCTTAAGCATACTTTGGCAACAGGTTGAATAGGTAGTGAATGCAACAATTAAGTATGCAAGTTAGGTAATTAATTATGTTAATGAGATTTACCAGCACTATCAATTTATTATTAATTTAACCCTTTCAACACCTTCAGTTTTCCTGCCAAGATTTCCTATGGTGCAATATTTTGACTATTTTTTAGCTCTGCTGTCGACTTTGTCGAGCGGAGCTTAATATATGAGTGATTGTTTGTCGGCGTCCATCGTCTGTCGTCGTCCGTGTCAACTTTTTACATTTTCAACTTCTTCTTGAATACTACAATTCTTATTTCTTTGATACTTAGTGTATATGTACCTTGGACAGACCTCTCTTAGATTTTTTCATTTTGTGATAATATCTTTAATTCTCTAATGTAGGTACTACATGTGGACCTTTTTCAGATTTGTTAATTTCGTGGTGATATCTTGAATTATCTAATTTTGATGATTATTTTTGTCATTTTTGAATTCTTGTTGAAAACAGCAAGTTCCGTTGCTTTGATACTATACATATTGTTCATTTTCTAATGATATCTTCTGTTCTTTAATTGAAATGTGCTTTGCTAACAGCAGAGCTATCTCAATCGACAGGCTGCTTGTTATTAATTTTTCTATAATTTTTTAGATAATTTTGGACCAAACAGACATGTTTTTCTACTGGCTAGATGTCTTGATCAAAATTTTGGAAAGAATTTAAAAAATATTATGCATAATTTGTAAAATTGGAGAAAAGTTGACTTTGGCGCTCAAAGTGTTAAATGTTATATTCACAATCGGTGTTGTTTTGTTGTTACTGATTTGTAGATTTCTACAGCTGTCATTTGTAGTCGATACACACTCAAATCAGATGACACGTTCCATGGATGTATTTTAACGATTTTTGCTTATTCGTCTGTTAGGCTGAGAAAAAAAGTATCTCTGTTTCTCGTTTCCGTGCACATCATTTTGAAGTATGCGCCTCGAACGTTTTTTTCCTTCTAAAGCATTCCAAAATGTGCTTGTACACGCACTTGTCTCAAATTTCCCCTATTTTAGCTCAGTATTCAAAAAATACATTTTAAAATTTCCATGAAACGAAAAACAGAGATTATTTTTTTCCTGACCTTATGTTATTGTGTTATCATGTTTTTGTGAAATGCACATGTACTTTAGAACACATGAAATTATATTTATAATGTAATGATGTAACGAACATATGCAAATTAATTCAGTATGTGTGTTAAATGAAGGTATATGTGTATGCCAAGTGAGAAAAATTTTTTTGTAACATTGATTATTGATATGGTCAAATATCCAATATTGTTTCCATGACAACAATGGCATCACCGTAACTTAGATGACAGGTTATAATTTTCCCAATAATCTTTTTTTTCTAAAATTAGTTCCGTTAGTACATTTTCATCAAAACACGCCGATAATTCAACATGCAAAAAAAATCAAAAACATAGGGGATGGTGTGCAAGCTGCAGACGTCTTTGAAATAAACAACTTTGCTTCAACAAAATACGACACTAGACAGTCGCAATAAATTGTACATACAAACAAATATTACAAATGAAACAAAGAATTAAAACTCACGATCACGACAATCGTTTCGTCACTGCAGACACAGGATTAAATTTGCATTCACGGCAATCGCCTCGCCATCTCTAAGACAGACACGCTACAATGTACATATGTATGTATGGCAGAGAGGGCGTTCGCTCACCTGAAAAAAATGTGGGGGGGGGGGGAATTGCCCCCCAATCAAGCTGAAATCTTTTGTGTTTTAGTTGATGTTTTCCAGATAATGGACAAAAAAGAATAATGAAAATGCCAACTAAATAGTTTAAGTGAGAATATTATTTGATTAGGTAGAGAGATTGTGAACCGTTTTTATTTGTGAGAAATCCCAGGAGAATGACTGACCATAGTCTACCATAGTCTACCATAGTCTACCATGATCTACCATAGTCTACTATAATCTACTATAATCTACCATGATCTACTATAGTCTACCATGATCTACCATAGTCTACTATAGTCTACTATAGTCTACCATGATCTACCATGATCTACCATAGTCTACTATAGTCTACCATGATCCACTATAGTCTACCATAGTCTACGATAGTCTACGATAGTCTACCATGATCTACCATAGTCTACTATAGTCTACCATGATCTACTATAGTCTACCATGATCTACTATAGTCTACCATGATCTACTATAGTCTACCATGATCTACCATAGTCTACTATAGTCTACCATGGTATACAAAAGTTAACATAGTATTTGATCAGCAACTATATAATACCATGGTTGGTTCTCAAATATTTTGAAGTGTAACTGTGGTTTATTATCATTACTACCATGGTTGACTATGATCTACTATGTTCAACTGTGGTTTACTATTGTCACCTATGAATTGACCATCATGATTGTTGACTATTGACAAGCCTAATTTACGTTTTGGGTAAAAAAAAATATACAAAGTATACATACACTGTATATACTTACTTCATCTAGTATTACAACATGATAAAAGGAAATATTTTTTTGTACAACTAGTCGTTTTCAGTACAGTTTATATTTTTTTTTAAATTAAATTTATGAACCAAAATTTTGCTCAATTCAAGTTGGCATATACATGTACGTAAAACTGCATAATAAATAGATACCTACATGCCTACCTGTGATGACTCGTAGGTTTATTATTCGGCCATCACCTAACCATTAAACCGTGGTGTAATTGTGACGCGTTTCCATGGAAAATCAAACGTGTAGTCGCGTATTTATGTCAGCTGTGACGAGATACAAGACGACAAAATCAATTGGTTCAAATTTTAAATTGATGCGGATTGTTTTTACAAAAACACCAATTGATATCAAGATCCTTATTGCACCCAATCAAATTATTAGTCCCTGTTCGGACGAAGTCCGAAAACGAGGACTTATAATTCGGTCTCCGTCCGTCTGTGTGTCCGTCCAGAGTCATATTTCAGAATCCTATGGACCGATTTCGTTCATTCTTTGCATGTGCCTAGTACTTTATGTGGGACATGTGCATATGCAGTGGTTTAGTGATTCAATTCAAAATGGCCGACTGGCAGCCATCTTGTTTTTTGAAAATGTTGTATTTTGGACATGCTTTGTCAGTTTTCATTCAAATTTGAAACATGGATTATACATGCTAGGATACATGTCCTCCGACCGTCTGTACATCTGTCCGTTAATCTGTGGTGCGTACATGCATGGGTCCGTGCGTGCGTGTATGTGTCCATCCAGAGTCATATTTCAGAATCCTTTGGACCGATTCTGTTCATTCTTTGCATGTGCCTAGTACTTTATGTAGGACATATGCACATACAGTGGTTTAGCGATTTGATTCAAAATGGCCGACTGGCAGCCATCTTGTTTTTCATTCATATTTGGCACTTACATCATACATGTCACTTTGGCTGAATAACGGCTGTATATTACTATTGGCCATATTACTATATCTCTGTCACCCATGTATCATTTTCATTGATATTTAGCATGCCATTAATGGATACATGTACATGTCGATTCAATATGCAATTTGATCAAATATGGCCAACTGGTGGCCATCTTGTTTGTTTAAAATGTGATAACTTGGGCATGCTTTCACTTGTGATCTATGTTTTTTTTTGCTACATGTATGTCTTAAACCGGAGGGGTCGTCTCGCAACACGTGTTCAAATTTGATGTATACATGTATCTGTTATATACGCCACTTGGGACTCAAGTTTCAAGGACTCGCGACAACCCCTCCACTTTAATATGATGAGCACAAAGAGAACCTTCAAAAATTTAACGGGGACTGTCTCATTTTCAATGACTTGTTCAATTTGACATGAGGTCAACTGCAGATTTTCCTAGCATGATTTGCTTTGAAACCATGCTACGATGGCTGGATCTGAGTGCACGAGTAAATAAGTAAATTTTTCGCATTTCCTTTTAAAGTATTATTTCTGTTAGAAGCACATCTTCAATAGAAGCACATACAAACCAAAATTAACATTTGCTGTATACTGAATAACTAAAATATTTCTGTAAAACCATTTATTTACACTATATTGATGTTTTGAGCATATTCACTGCGTTTTTTTTAATTTAACGAATTTCTCAAGGAAAACAATGAGTTTTATTGTTATTTAACATGTTCTTGTAGATTTAATTTAGCGGATTTTACTTATCAGCGTAAATAGTAAATAGTGAATAATGAATACATTTACAGTACTTATTTTGACCATAACTAAATGATTTACTTATCCACTACTATAAGAGCGAGTATAGTATAGTTTTCAACTGTATAATTTTGAGTGAATCACAAACTGATTACAGTAATATCTCAACAGGTTGTTGGTAGAAGATTTGATACAATCGATGACTCACTACCAACTACGTATTACGAAACCATTTATGCGCTGCTGGATAAACTTAGTCCCGGGTATAGACTAACGTTTGGTGAAACACTGGCCGGTAAACTGCAGATGTTACAACAGAATGACGCAGAGAAATCTGACACTAAAGAGTTAGAAACAAAGATGTCATAATTGAAGAACTTATACTGAAGAATGGTAACTTTCAAATAGTTTCAAATCAATAACTTGCAACTTTTGTGAAGTACCAAATATCGGAGTACCAGACATTAACACAGCCTTGTTAGTTCTCGCTTTTGGACTTTGTCGTATGGATTGACTTCCATACGTTTATGTGTGTGTGCGACCATACCCAACCATATCTCACATACATTAGACATTATGTCGGACATATGCACATGTATTTGTTGTGTGATCCAATAGAAGATGATCAAATGGTGACGAATTTTATTTCAAAAGTGCATCAAAATCACACATTTTCATCATAGATGGATTCTGTCCAACTTAGTACATATGTTGAACATAATGAAATCTTGATGCACTCAATTGTATTTTTTGTGTTCTGTTAAAAATGGTCGACTGGTGGCCATTTTTTTCAAAGAATGCATTTCCTGGTTCATATATTTGATATATATGCCTGGACTGATCAAGTTCAATCTTCACACACACACATCAAACAAACACACAGGCATTTTTGTGACCATCAGACTGGCTGACTGGCGGCCATCTCGTACATGCCTGGACCAATCAAGTTTAACTTCACACATGCATTACAAATATTCGAATGTGTGATTTTCTGTTCACTATACGATCTCGCAAATTGTGTGAAAGGCGCATACCAAACATCTGCCGCAAAAATTGAAGGATTTAGTCTTAAACTTGAATGTCTTTTTCAGAGCTGAATGTCAACTTTGTGAGAAAAATATTCCATTGAGTTACATTTACTTCATCAAAATTGTCCATCAAATGTGTAAAGCATATTATTAAGCGTGGAAATATCCCAAAATTAGTTTCATGTTTGTTGAAAAGTATGCAATGTTTTGACGCCACTACATTTGTACGATGCTTTGACCTGTTTTTACTTTGATTTCTCACATAACCCAGGATGGTCAATTGAATTCATTTGTGATTTTATTATCGATTGTTGTTGTAATACTGACTGCTTCTAAGTATTGCCAAATATAAGTTCATTATCATGTTAAAATTAATTTTTTGTGCTGGATAAATTTGGTCTTAATTTTTAGCTATGTGGAGCAGTCCCTAATTTTTCCAAATACTGTAAAATACTTAATTTTAGCCGAAACTAATTTTCGCTGAAAAGATGATTTTTGGTGTTTTGTATGGAATTTATTTTCACTGATTTTTAAAAGTTGAATGTAGTAAATTATGGGAAAAAGGTATATTCAATATATTTTATTTTCACTGAATCATTCATTCAGTGAAAATAGTGAAAATTAATTCCAAACGAAAAAAAGTAATTTACAGTATATCAATAGTCATACATGTATATATTACATGTGTGTGCAGTGTGTAATACATTAGGTGAGACAAAGTTACAGGTACTACCAAATGTAATAGTTTTCCAAAATTCAACCGCATTTTATGGTGTATGTAGATGTATCTTTTCAATCTTACTAATTGCTTTTTTTTTACTATGAATTTGCATTTACTACCTACCTACATGTTTGTATGATGATAAAGTGGTTATTGTGTTTGCTTCCTATTAGGTAGGGAAGTTGTGGGTTTGATCCCTAACCTTTGTGCCTATACTACCAAACACGTGATATTAGAAGTATTAGAGATAATGGCATCTGACCATGACAATTAAAACTTTCTGTTCTGTATGCTATTCCATTCCTTAGTGCATGTTAATCTTTTCACCACCAGACATTCCGGCCCGAATTTTTCTGTACTTTTTTCTTAAATTCTTCAAAATTTCCGGAAATGAATTTTAGTAAATTTTCAGTTTTTACTCAAAAAATTTGCTATTTTTGTCCCAATATTCTGAAGGAATTCAGACTATAAACGGGACTGTTTTTTATGAATTTGTGATGCAAAGAGGGAACTGGTGGTGAAAAGGTTAAAGATCACATTTATTCCAATCACAGCAGATTTATCGTCGGATGATGTTTCCTATCCCAAATCATGCAACCTCTAGTAAGAGCTGGGACCTCCGAATCTGTAATTGAATTCATTGTATGTGGATCTGAGAAATAAATAAATAAATAAAATTGAAGGCAATAAACAAAAATAAAAGAAAATTATACATAAGACATTTTTATTTGAATAAAAATCTAACATTTATTTCTGAGTTCCCCTTATTGAGTCATTGCAAACAAACGGTGCCTTTTATTACTCTTTTTCTGTTCAACATTGTACAATGTACTACCACTTCACAGCAAACATTGCAGATTCATAAAAATATTTGTATGTTCAAAACAAATCCATAATATGCTAATTCTTCTTCAGGGTTCCACGACTACAGCATTGTCTCTCGAAGCAGATTTATTGCAGGGCTACTTTGACATTTGTTACGGGAAAGTAAATTAAATACTATTACCGGTAATTTTCAATAGTTTTAGATTAAGAACATGCAGGGTATATATTTTGTGATCCAATGAAACATGATCTCTTCTATGTAGGCATATATGCGATATTTGATTGGTATTGTATACAACTCGTGTCCATTGGCAAATTGCTTGGAATCTAACCATCTCTACTCTGTAGTGAATTTATAATGTTAATTAGCACTTTGATGACATTCTATGACCAAACCTGCTTGGTCTGGCATGTTTGGAAATTAATTCCCTACATATATATACATGTATGTGTGTACCATGTATATAGCAGCCTGGGTTGTATGTTAGTTCCCAGGGGAGTTACAATGGTGTAATGATTTAAACTGAATTTGCTATATTAAAATGACATGTGCTTTTGCGAATCAGTGTCAGCAAAGTGTACTTAAAAATTCCCCCAAAACAAAATTGTACTGCTCACATGCAAGATTGTGTTTCTACTGTAAAGTCTTTATTAGAAGCAGCGGTTTATAATAAAATGGTACAATGCAATAGAAAAGATGCGGGTTCTATTAGAGAATCTACACATGATTGGTTTTTGTCCCCATTTTTTCAATGGGTTTGACTTCTATGAGGAATGCATTGCCAGGTTTAAACATAACATTTAAATATATGATATTAAAGTTGTATTTTAATGATTCAGTATAACAAAGTATCTTTTGGTCTTTATATATACATTACATGGTATATTATTATTATGCAGCTGAAGTTGTCTTTTTCTTTCATTGAAGTATATTTTTTGTAATATTTATGTATTAATAGGTAATAACAAATAGTATATATTGACCATGCATTTTTGTAGTATAATTTATCAACTCAAGTCTTAAAAAAAAGAAAACGATTAGCACTTTAACCGTTTCACTACCAGTTTTAGTCACAAATTCACAAAATAGTCCCGTTTATATTTTGAACTTTCTTTCAGAAGATTGGGCCAAAAATAGCTGAAATCTTTTAAGTAAAATCTGAAAATTGACTTAAATTTTGTATGTTTGCTCCAAAATTAGGGTTCAATTCCAGAAATATTGAAAAATATGAAAAAAAGTGAAGAAAAACCTGATTAATTTTTATCAAATTAGTTGACGTGAAAGATAGATTAATTAAAGTAGTTTAATCAGAACTATTAGAATTACATATTCATGAATAATAATGTACTCATGAATATTAATTAGCTATCAACTTTCATGTCAGGCTAAGCAGATTTATATATCATATGTGAAATCATCAAGCTTGTGAATTTATTGAAATATTGGTGAAATTGTGACTTTCAAGCAACATAGGTTTAACATTGCATTGAAATTCCCTGAGGAATATTATTTTTCTTATGGGGGGATAAGCTATGTGCTCTAGGAATTTTTAGACATTTTTTTCTGAACTGCCAATTTTTTTTTAAATAAAGATTATTTTAAAACAATAATTTAAGTGATATGTGTTATGTTGCTAAGATGTGGTCATGATGAATCAGAACCATCATTGGTGTATACTGGTTAAAAATACACATGTAATGTATTCTTGTGAGTTTGATCAGTGATTGATCAGATCATTTGATTGTTCTGTTTCTCAGTCATGTGACACTGTCAAGCCAATCAGGGGAGCTTTTACTCAGTGAATTTGGTTATCAATCAAATTCAGGATTGCATTGTGACTGTTGACAGCTGATGTTTATTTCAACAAGATAGATGTTTTTTTAGTGGAAAAACTTGTATAGATGTGTATCACATATTTTTTAGCATAAAAAATTAAAATTTTTACATTTCTTTACATTTCATTTCTATGGTACATGATCTAGCAGAATTGCAACCATTCACTCAATGGTATAGCATAGTGGTTGTTATACTTGACGGATGGTAGTTAGCTTGGCTCAAGTTCAACTACGACTAATGGGTTAAACACTGAAAAGGATTAACAAGAAAATCTCTAATTAAGGTCAAAGTCACTGGCAGTCAGGACTAACCAACCAATATATCAGGATTGGGATATACACGTATCCGAATTAGAATATAACTTGATTAAGATATTGTTTTGTATCTTAATCGGGATATTTGCCGTAGATCGCATTGGTTCACTTTATTACAGCATGCCACATGTATTGAAACAGGTATGTATACATTCCTCTCCTCAAGACAGACAAAATAGCCAGAGTTTGAAAATGTGTTGTCAAGGGCTATTATTCATATTTATCCTGAGTGAGTTATTGTTTTTTATCCACGGCACATTAAAGCGGGATGGTTGTCACCTGCGCTTGTTTGTAAACAATGACATGCCATGGCCATCGGACGCATGCACAGGTGACGATACCCCCGCTTTAAACAAAAACATGACTAACATTGAAATTATATGGGTATGTAGACTATGCAATGCCATAAACACTTTCATTTCTCTAAAATCTAAAAAAAAAAAGCCAGTGTTCTGTGTGTTTCATTGTATGTTCAATAATGCAATTTTTGCTTCTGTTTGAAAAGGATATTTATCCTAATCAAGATTTGTTCTCATCCAGATTGCTTCTCCTGATCGAAGGACTGTGTGCGAGTCAGGACATGTCTTTGTTTAGTGCAGTGAGATATTTGAAGACAAAATACTTGATTTTTGGATGGCTGCTAAATCTGACAAATATGGTAACGGCTTCAGCTGGAGATGTGTTAGAGAGGCAATTAGAATAAATTAAGTGCAGTATTTGTTTGTAATTAATTGCACCTAAGTTTCGGGGGCATGGGCATGACATTTTTTCACTATTTCATCAAACACATACTACTATGTTAGCTATCAAAAGTATGTACATACAGTCAGGATGTTTTGTCAATAAAAATTAACCGATATCTCAAGAACAATATGTTGGTTTTTGATGAAACTTGGTGTATATGCT